ATTGCGATTATTATTATTATTTTCATCATCATCATCATCTCCATCATCATCATCAATATTAGTAATATTGTCATTATCATTATTGTTACCATTATTATCATTATTAACATCACTACTCCTATTATTATAGTTATTCTCATTATTGATAGTAATATCGTTATTATTATTATCATTATCATCAATATCATTATCATTCTCATATTTGTTATTATTGTTATCAATATTATCATTATTACTATTATTACTACTATTATCATCATTATTATTGTTATTAATATTTTTTGTTATTATCATTGTTATCATTACTATTATTACAATTATTACTATTGTAATTTTTATTACTATCATCAGTAGTAGTAGTTGTTGTAGTATTGTTATCATTATTGTTATCATTATTATCGTTGATTATCATTATCTGTGTTATTATTACTATCATTATTATCATCCTTATTATCATGATTACCTCCGCCAAGTTATGTCTTTGGTTGAGTTGTTTAGTTTGTTTATTTGTTTGTTCGTTGCTTAGCAGGATCACATCAAAACACAAACGCCAATAATCAGATGATTAAATCTAAACAGCTGATCGAACCTCATCCACTTTAACTCCCATTTCCTGTCGCCCTCAGACCCCTTGGCTCAACCAGACGCGCGAAGGACAAGGAACGACCAACAACACGACTCATGCAGAGAGTTACACTGACCTTCCCCTTGATGAGCAGGTACGGGTGGTGATTGTGCGTGCGAGTGTGTGTTGTTTTTTTTGTGCTTGTGGGAGGAGAGGGAGAGGGGGAGGGGTTTGGGAGTGCGATGGTGTGTTCATGGTGTGTGTGGTTTGGGGAAGAGGGTCTGTGTGTGTGTTGTGTGCGTGTGTGTGGTGTGTGTGTGTGTGTGTGTGTGTGTGTGTGTGTGTGTGTGTGTGTGTGTGTGTGTGTGTGTGTGTGTGTGTTTGTGTATGTGTTTACACATATTTGCACATACATACCTATCTGTACTTGGGTACCTTTCTGTGTACCCACGTGCGTGTGCTTACATACCCGCTTGTACATACCCTCCCCAAAACGAATTTACAAGTTAATTCCCCTTCTTATGCGCACTCTCCTTACGACCCACAACACCAACCAAGACCCCAATAACACAACACAACCCGTTACACTAGAACTAAACCCTCGTTATAACGTCCACAGACCGGGGATCGCATCGTACTATCCGGGACGCAGAAGGGGCTCATCCTCGGTGCGTTCTTCTACGGCTACATCTTCACGAACGTAAGTCTGTGGATCCGGGAGGTCCTTGTTAGAGTGTTTAGGTGTTGTTGGTGTTTGTTTTTGTGGCTGAACTCCCTTCTTTGTATCAAAATAATTTCACAATCTTTTCTTCTACCTATGCTCCCTTTCGTTTTTTCAACATAGTAATCTTCTAGCAGAGAGATCATGCATTTTTTTCTTCCCTCTAGTTTCTTTTTCCTTCTCTTTGACATGTGAATTACACCCATTTCATATATCAAAGAATGTCACAGTGGCCTCTTCCTATGCCCCTCTTCATTCTTTTCACATTGGAATCCAGCAGATAATTATACACATAGTCTCTCCTCTCTCTATCTATCTATCCATCTATCTATTATTCTATCTGGCTGCTCCTAATCTATCCATCTCATCTCTCTCTCTCTCTCTTCTCCTCTCTCTCTCTCTCTCTCTCTCTCTCTCTCTCTCTCTCTCTCTCTCTCTCCTCTCTCTCTCCTCTCTCGCTCTCTCTCTCGCTCTCACTCTCGCTCTCGCTCTCGCTCTCGCTCTCTCTCTCTCTCTCTCTCTCTCTCTTCTCTCTCTCTCTCTCTCTCTCTCTCTCTCCCTCTCTCTCTCTCTCTCTCTCTCTCTCTCTCTCTCTTTTGCTTTCTTTGATATACTAATTAATCCAATTTCAGGCAATACCACATGCAGGTAAATCAAGCAATATTTTTTGTTGTTGTTTTTTCCTTAGCTACGACTCATTCCATCTTATCATCTTCCTTTTCATATCATTCATTTCTTACTATACGACTTTTCTCTTATTATCTATCTTCTTCCTCCTGATTAATCTACATCTTATCAAATTCCTTTCTTAATCTTATTTCATCAAATCTTAACAACGATTCATCCCCAATCTCTCCCTTTGGATTAATCCATTTATTTCTATCCTTATTATCTTATCAAATTCCTTTCTTAGTCTTTTTTAATCACTACTTAACATACGATACATCCCTGATGATCTTCCTTTATATCTAATTTTCTTTATTTATTTCTTCTTTATTCATTTATTTATTCATTTATTTATCATTCTATTATTCATCTATTTATTCATTTATTATTCATTGGTTATTCCTTTATTATTTCATATATTTATTTTCATTTATTTATTTCTCAGATTCCCGGCGGTCGCTTGGCTGAAGTCTACGGAACGAAACGCGTGTTTGGAGGGTCAATGCTAATGAGCAGTCTGCTGACACTTGGCACCCCTCTGGCAACCCACCTGCACTATTCAGTTCTCATCGTTCTTAGAATGATGATAGGCCTCTGTCAGGTGGGTCGGGGGATGGAGGATGGGGGATGGATGGATGGATGGAATGGGTGGGTGGGTGGGTGGGTGGTGGGTGGGTATGGGTTAGAGGGATAGATTGATGTGGTGGGTGGGGTGGGGAGGGATTCGTGGTGGCGGTGGGTGGATGGGGGTGGCTTGGGCTGGGTTGGGGGAGAGGATGGGATGGATTGGGGGTGGGTGGGTTTGGGGAAGGAGGATGGGGTTGTGTTTGAGGGATAGATTAATGGATAGGGGTGGGTGGAGGGATGGATTGATGGTGGGTGGGTGGAGGATGGATTGATGGGTGGATGAGAGGAGGGATGGAATGATGGGTGGTGGGGGTATTGGAAGGACTGGTGGAAAGAGTGGGCGGAGAGAATGATTGTGGGCGGTGGGTCGTGTGCAGGAGAGAAGAGCGTTGGAGAGAGATGTTCATGTGTATGGATAGCTTGAGAGTAGGATAAGTGGGTGGGTTGGTGGGTTGCAGAAGAGGTTGTTGTGTGTCTAGGTTAGTAAGTGGGTTGCATCTGTGGGTGGGCTTAGGGATGGATTGGTGGGTGGGGTTTGGATGGGTAAGGGCGTGGGTTGGAGGAAAGGTGGAGCGGTGGAGTAAAAGGTCCCTGTATATGTGGAATATCTGGGTGGGTGGACATGTTTCTATCTTGGGTGAGGGGAGGGCGTTGCGTGTATGGTTTTTAGATGAATAAGGGAGGGTAATGTGTGTGTGTTGTGTGTGTGGCTGTGTGTGTGTGTGTGTGTGTGTGTGTGTGTCTGTGTGTTCTTGTCCTCTGTGGTAGTGTGTGTATGTGACACATAAATGATAATTAATATCGTAATGATGAAATAATAAATAAATAAATAACAATAATAATAATATAATAATAATAATAATAATAATAATAGTAATAATAATAATAATAATAATAATAATAATAATAAATATAATAATAATAATAATAAATAATAATAATAAATAATAATAATAATAATAATAAATAATAATAATAATAATAATAATAATAATAATAATATAATTATAATAATATAGATAATTATGATAATAATAATAGCAATAATAATAGTAATAGGAAATACGTCGACTATTTCTGTCACCAATAGTTAGTTTATTAAATCTGTGCGAGGACCGATGCATATGCATTATAGGAACAACATATACACATAAATTAATATATATCTGTCAGTTTAGACATGCATATCTACCAGATAAGTAGATAGATAAATGTATATCTATCTGATAGATAAACAGATATGAATTTATTTCTGTGTATATTCATGTCCATATGTATAAAAGTCAATAGACAGTATTCATGTTGACAAATGTAGAAAAGGTATGAATGATGATTAATATCTTCACAACACAAGAGATGTATTCGACCGGTTTCGAATATATCTTCGTCGGAAATACATGTATTTGATGTACTCAGAATCGGTCGAATACATCTCTTGTGGTGTGAAGATATTCATTCTCCTTCATGCCTTTCCTACGAATATTCATTAGGTCAGCCTCGCAAATTTTTAACAAACCGCCCGTCAGTTTCCATTCATTTCCATTCCCTGTCTCCCTCCACACCTCGCACAGGGCGTCGTGTACCCCGCCCTCCACGTGATGGTGGCTCGCTGGATCCCGCCCTTAGAACGCCCACGCTTCATGTCCTTCACATATATGGGTGAGTTCTGATGGAAATGCGAGATATTTCTGACAGCGGAACCGTAGAAGGATCGGCCGGCCTGTTGTGTGTGGCTGACCTTGGCTTCTGTTTTTTTTTTTTTTTTTCCTTTTTCTTTTTTATCATTATATTTTTCTTTCTCTTTTTTGCGAAACATTTCGCAAATGTTCTAGTTATAAAAGGAGTTGAGTAATTTGAGATGGATGTTGTAGTATTATTTGGTAAGGATTATAGTCCATACCAATCTTTTCCTTCTTCTTCTTCTTCTTTTACTTTGACTATATTGTATTTAATGGAACAAATAACTGTACATTGGCTTGATAACGTTTACTTGAATCTGATAGGCCCTTCGGCATATGATATTCGTGTACGCATAATTTTGAATTGCATTTATTTATATATCTGTATAAAAATCCACGAAGAAAAATCATTGACAGTTGTTCAACATATTATTCATGAAGTTCATACCGCATAAAAAAAAAAAAAAAAAAATAATAATAGTATATATATATTTCTTGAACAGTAATAACCAGACGATATCAATACCATCAATCTCTCACACATCATATAACAGAGAAAAAATATACGTGTTTCTTCCTCGTTCCTTCTCAGCGAACTGCGTGGGCTTGATCCTGACGATGCCTGCGTGTGGGTTCATCATCGATGCCGTCGGCTGGCCCACGGTCTTCTACGCGAGCGGTTCGGTCTCTCTGGTCTGGGTGGTTCTCTGGTTCGCTCTCATGCACGACTCCCCCGAACGGCACCCGAGGATCTCGCCCGAAGAACGCCGGTACATCCTGGAGGCGCTCGGGAAGGACGTGACTGTGAAGGTAGGATGGGAGGAGGACGCGCGCTCACGGAGACTGTCCTTGTGTTAAAGCTAGAGATGATTTGGAGGAATTGACGCAAACAGGAACGTGTACACAAAAATGAAAAAGACAAGGAATGAATTGATGTATATTTTTTTCATTTTTTTCATTTCTTAGTATTTTCCCCTTCTTTCTTCTTCTTCTTCTTCTTCTTTCTCTTCTTCTTTCTTCTTCTTCTTCTTCTTCTTCTTCTTCCTCTTCTTCTTCTTCTTCTTCTTCTCCACTCCTCCCCTCCTCTTCTTCTCCTCCTATCCTCCTTCTCCTCCTTCTCCTCCTCCTCCTCTTCATGGATTTCCATAAGAACTTCAGTTAGACACAATAGCAACCACATTTTTGACCACATTCATTATAACGTCTTCACTAAACAAAACACATGTGTCTTTTGGTGTCTTGACCAAACACATACACCACACTGTCCACGAACAAAATAGCTTTTGCGTGAATTTGCTCTCAAGTTGTTCCTACACAGCTAAGTTCTGACGTAGTATAATAAACTCTAATAATTTATCCATACTGTTTCCTGACCAACATGGGTGTTTTGTCAAGATCTCACGTACATAGTTAAATTGACATATTTCAGGCTTTTCTTTAACATATGTTGGTATGACGTAGATTCAGTAGTTCACGGGGTCTTCTCTAAAATCCTTAGCTATGGATAGACACAGCTTGATCGTGATGCGCTTTTAATTCTGAGACTAGTACATGTTTTTAATGATTTGCGAATAAAATTAATAACTCTCTTGACTTAAATTGTTCAGAAGCTTTTGACACAGAGCAACTAAAACAGAATTATATTCGAATAGAATGGCTTCCATGATAACTTAAATTTCTTGTGCAACACATTCTTCTTTCAATTATTCGCAGAAAAAATTACTTTTCTCACGACCTAAATTTCTTAATCATCACACTTTTATTTCGAAAATTCTCGAAAATTACCTCACATGACCTAAATTTCTTAACCAGCTTTTTTTCAAATTTTCATGACCTAAAATTCAGATTTCTTAACTAGCACACACCTTTTTTCAAATTTTCACCAAAAATGCATGACATAAATTTCTAAACCCACACATTCCTAACCCATTATTCAACGAAGAAAATGACCTCTCGTGACCTGATCTCATGACCTAATCTCACGTTCACAGCCCAAGCGTACCCCATGGCGCGGGATAATGACCAACCTGCCCCTGTGGTCCATCAACATGGCTCATGTGGGTGCCATGTTTGGCTTCACGCTCCTCATGACCCACTTGCCTTCGTACATGAGCAGCGTTCTCGGATTCTCCATCAAGAGTGTAAGGATAATTTGTTCATTTTTGGGCGCATTTGTTCATGGAATTTTGCTTTTGCTGTTTCTGGTGTTATCGATGTTGTTTTGTTTTTGCTGTTGTTTAAAATCTTTGTTGTTGTTTGTTTTTTGCTGTTTCTAAAATCGTTGTTTTTGTTTTGGTTCTGTTGTTGATGTTGTTGCTGATACTGCTCATGTTATTGCTGTTTTTACATGTTTATGTAAATACGACGTGAAAAAAATATGAATTAAAGAAATCAAAAACTCTTGCGGATGTACATTGTTATTATCATTAATTATTGTTATTATTATTAATATTATTATTATTATTATTATTATTATTATTATTATTATCATTATTATTATCATTATTATATTATTATCATTATCATTATCATTACCATTATCATTATTATTATCATTATCATGATCATTAACATCATTATAATTATTATTATTCTATACGAGAAGCTCTGCGCTGACGTCTCCGCCCCGTTTCCAGAATGGGCTGCTGTCGGCCCTTCCGTTCCTGACGCAGTTCCTGGGCAGTAACGTGTGTGGCTTGCTGGGCGACTTCCTCCTCACAAGAGGCTACATCACCGTCCTCACATCGCGGAAGATATTCACCACCGTTTGTGAGTTTGTTTGTTTGTTTGTTTTTCGCCACCGTTTGTGTGTTTTTTCCTTTTTTTCTTTTTTACCATGGTATGTTATTTGTTGATGAAGTTTATCATTATTATCTGTATATCACCACCGTTTGTTAGATTTTTTTTTTTCTTCTTCTTTTTTTATCATAGTGTGTTATTTGTTCATGACCTTTTTATTCTTTATTTTAAAAAAGTTTATTGTAATCTCTATAATTTATCTTTTTATGCAGATTGGCGAATATCCTGCAGAACAGATGGCAAAAAATTACATATTTTGCCTTCTACCAAAGATGTTTCGTATTTAGATAAGAATTCTATATCACAAATACGAACAATATTTTTTTTCATTAACCTGATAACGATCAGCTGATTAGATTGCTGGGAGTGAGACTGGTCTTTCATTTAGGTCATTTTTTGTTTGCTTGTTTTTTTCGTCTTCTTTTTTCTCTTCATCAGATAATCGTTAGATGTTGCCTGTTGCCGTATCATGTTGGATTAACATGAAACACACGTACACACACACACACACACACACACACACACACACACACACACACACACACACACACACACACACACACACACACACACACACACACACACACACACACACACACAACACACACCACACCTCCTCACATCTCTATCTACACGCGGTCTCACACATACACCTACCAAGACACATATCTCCGATTTTCGTTATTAACTTCAATTTCATCTCAAAAGGATTTGTCGCGGTGATATTTCCGATTATCTCGCTGTTATCAGTCTCCCAGTATTGTCATTTAAAATGTCATAAGTTATGTCTTGCGATAAGCGATAGGCCTATAAAAAATGAATATAAGAAATAAAAGAGATGGATAAGAAAAGAAAGAAAGAAAGAAATAGTAAGAAAAAGTAAAGAAAAAAAGATAAGAAAAAGTGTATAAAAAAAACATATTGGTAAAAAAAAGGAAGAATTATGATACAATTTGGATGAAGCTTTGTTAAACAATCCAAAAAGGGTGATCCGCCTTTATCCATCCTTTCATGCTAATAAAATAATCCATATTAATCCATCTACCTGGTAAGCCACTTCCGGCCTCCAATAGGATATACCACTTTCATCCGTCCAAATCGATCCACCTCCGTCCTTCCACCCTGGCGAAGCGATCCACATCCTTCAAAAAGAGGATCCACATCCACCTCAATCCTCTTTCATTGACCCAATCCTATTCTTTTACAGTAATCCATTTCTCTAATTCCTCGTCCATCCTTCTATCTTAACGAGGTCATCCACCTTCATCCTCCCATCCTAGCAAAGGGACTGACCTCTATCCTTCGGTGGTGACCCCTCCCCCCCTTCCCCATGCTCCAACCCTAGCAAAGGGACTGACCTCTATCCCTCGGTAGTTACCCCCACCCCCTTCCTCCCATCCCACCAACCTAACCCCCCCTTTCATCCTCGCAGCTCTGGTGTTCCCCGCGGCCGTCCTCGTCGCCGTCGGGTACGTGGGCTGCAACAGCATCGCCGCCGTCGCCATCTTCCCCGTTGGCACAGCCTTCGCCGGCGCCATCTGCTCCGGCTACCTGGCCAATCACCACGACCTCTCGCCCAATTTTGCGGGTGTGTTTGCTTGTGTTTTTTTTTTTTTTTTTTGGGGGGGGGGGATGGGGGATGGGGAGGGGTAATAGGTTGGTAGGCAGAGAGATATGGGGGTGAGAGAGAGAGGGGGTAGGGGAAAGAGAGAGAGAGAAGAGAGAGAGAGGGGAGAAAGAGAAAGAGAGAGAGAGAGAAAGCAAGAGAAAGAAAGAGATAGAAATATATTGATATGCAGATAGACCGATAGACAGACAGACCAACAAATATAACAGAACAACAAATATCTATAAGTCTGCAGTAAAACAAGAAAAACATTTTCAATTTATTCCTTCTGCAGGTACGATTTATGGCGTGACAAACACCATCGCCTTCGGAGTGGGTATGTGCGTGCCCGTGGTGGTGGGTGCCATGACTCCGGACCAGGTGAGGCATGCATACTTTTCGCAAGATATGAGTGTCACAAAATGGTCACCATTGTCTTTGTCAAGGTTTTGTAAGTAAAGTTAGACGTCAAAAGGGATTGAAAGATACAAAGGAAATAACAAGAGAGTGTCTTAACGCCCCATTTATTTATTTATGTATTTATTTATTTTGAAGTAAAATTTAAAAAATAAATAAATAAATAAAATAAAAAAGATAAAAAAAGTTCGATCGAGTCTTCTGCACACAACTTCCAGAAACAAGTCTTCTTCCATAAGGTTGTTAATTAAAAATATTTTTTTAACATTTACCAAATCAATGTGAGGTTTATAAGCCTTCAGCCACAAGGGAGTCAGTCTTGTGAGCTCTATTCTCATCTCGGTTAATGTGGATGAAGGTCTTCTAACTCCCAACGATTCCTTTAATTCTTTGCACTTTAGAAGAGTTAGGCCTACAGTGCTTCCTCTCCATTTGTGCCCAAGACGTCATGTTAGTGTGTGAGCAGCGGCGGAGCCACGGGGGGGGGGGGGTCAGCACCCCCACTTTTCAATGTACATTAACTCACTTGATGATAAAAAATGATAATAATAATGATAAAACTTAATTTGAAACTTTCCGCCTTTTAGTGCGAAATGTTTTTTTTTCTTCTTCCTGGGAAAAGAAACAAACGAATTGAGAGCCCTCAGTATTAGAAGGGCGGTATTTGCGAATGGAAGTAAACTTTTTAAAACATTGCTGATTCAAGTTTCTGATAAATAAAACACTTTTAGAAGAAAGAGCGTTCTCCTTAGAGTTTTCGAGAAGGGCGTTTCCGCAAGGGAAAAGGGCGTGGACCCCCTATAACGCAACGTTGAGAGTAATTGTGCCTCCCCCCCTTTTGAGGCTGGCTCCCCCGCTGTGTCTGAGTTAGGAAAATTAGCATCAAATAGGTAAGTAGCAGATGGCATAATGTTCTACTC